AAGGGTTGAGTGAATCCTTGGCTCCACTTCTACAACAGTTTGACATCAGGTAAGTAATTTTCTGACGGCGCACCATCTATATCAAGGTAGATGCGCACAATTTTTAATTTACGGACTCGTCCATTAGAGCGGTTTTCATTTAAGTGTTGAAAAGTTATTGGTTTTGCATTACTACGCTACACCGTGATTGGCTTAGAAAACTCGCGCCACTTTTTCATCCAATCGGACGTAAACCAAAACCAATCGTGACTCGTTCACACAGGTTTTCCCGCGCTTCACATCAGCTACGTGTTATTACTTCGAGTTTTGATTGGTTCACTAGATTGTCCCTGTCCTTTGTGATTAGCTAGAGCGATTACTTTGGCACTCAATTGAAAACCACTCTATAGATTCAGCAGAAAGTTATAACTCTTTATTTATCACAGTATTTTATTCTAAATAGTGAATAGAACTGTTGAAGTGGCATACAGTCGGATCTCCGGCTGCGACCACCTCTCTTCACCGACCAGTTTTCCAAAATGCCAAAAGTTTCCACAAATCTCTTTATTTTGAACCTCTTGTAAGCGACCACCTCTCGTAAGCGACCGCGACCACTTCTAGAGCTAGCTAAAAGTTTGAAATTTTCTTTTGCTTTTAACCTCCCGTAAGCGACCACTTGACAGATAATTGAGTGGAAATTGGATTAAATAGTGTTGCAACATTATCGCATTTCTGGGTAGTACAAGAGATTTCTCAACGGGAAGTAGCACTACAGATGTTTTCTCGAAATTGGCAGTTCAAATGAATAAAACATTTAAAACATGGGGCCACTCCCTGCAGTTACCATATGCTAATGAGGCAAAATTTTGATCCAATATGCTATCCTCATAAGCGACCACTTCCAGTAAGCGACCACCTAGGCTTGACATTTTGGGTGGTCGCTTACGGGAGGTTCAACTGTATTTGTTTCTGTGTCCAGGTACACGTTACTGGAACCAGGCCCCATTGATACTCTGATCGGTCAAAATGCAACGGAGTGGAGCAAAACCATGGACAACGGTACGGCTGACGAGAAAACGGCGAAGTTGCAGGGGATAGCAGGAAAAAAATTCGAAGAGCTAGTCAGCAAGAAAATGAAATCGATTGAAATAGNAGGAAAAAAATTCGAAGAGCTAGTCAGTAAGAAAATGAAATCGATCGAAATAGCAGCCATTGTCAAAGAGATCATACTAGGCCAGAACACCAACTTTCGGTGCCTCACAAATGTTGAATTTCTTAACGAAGAAATTGCTGCCAAGCTGAAAGATTCTGCTACTAATAAACCAATGGAAATGATAAAGACACGATTCTTTGAAGAACAGGATGAAAACTAATAAATGAACCCTTCCAGTGCAAGATCAAAATGCTATGTTTCCTCTCAGAGAGCCATAGATACGTCTTTTTTGTAATAGTTGGAAGAATTTGTTAATGCCAGACCAAATAAAAAGACTTAGGATATTAAACATAAGAGTTAAGGCCAGATATTTATTGTTCAAGTTGCTCTGATGTTCTTTATCCAATTGCCTGTTGTTTGCCCACCATAAAAGTTCTGTTCACGAAGGGAGGTCTTGATTTTTACAGGCAGGCAGGTAGGCAGGTTCGTCTCAGCGTCATAGTTTGTTGTCATAGTTTTGCCAGTGTTTAAACTGTAGTTTAAACTAATACATGGTTCATTTGTCATCGATTAAAAGCTAGTATGTACTTTGTTAATTTGGCTAGCTTTCAAGCTATAGAATTCGTGGACTGACCCGTTCCGAGAACGCTCCACATTTTTTAGGGTAGGCCCACTATGAATGACGTGTTTGTTTGTATATAAGATGAACGTATATCTGGAAAGGCACGATTCTGTCCAAAGCTTACTT